ATTTTAGCGGACATTCAGATCACTGTTATCTCTACTGCCCTACAAAATCTATTCTAACAGTTTTAACAATTAGAAACATATATTTTTGTTGTATCACTTTTGAAACTGGGAGTTCTGCGTAGTTAATGCTTGCTCTGCTTTTTACAAGTTTAAATTTACCAATTTGAATTTTTAAACCAACTACATTAGGGAATAATTTATTAGCAAAATTAATAATAGCAGTGATATGCATTAATTAATGAAAGTTTGCGAAGTTTTGTTCAAATTTATCTTAATTCAAAAAGTTCAAACTTTGCTTTGTCTATTAGAAAAGTTAAATTATATTTTACGCATTTTTTTGACTATTCACATTGGAATTATTATGGATTTTAAGCAATTAAATAATACAAAATAAATGTTAAAATCATTACAGTAGATTGAAAATGCTGACACTTTACGTTTTTGCACAGTATAGTTTTTTTATTAAAAGCAGAGTCATTTTATGTATTTTATAACTTCTGTACTACTTTTACAAGAAAATATTTATAGAAAACTGCAATAATGATTCCTTTTCGAGATTTGCTTCCACAAAATTTATTCTTTCGTAAGCTTGGCGAGATTATTTATCACTGTCCTAAAACAATTGTAACGATGATCTTTTTTGTAAGTTATTTGGATTCAGTATAATAGCCTGCAAAGAAAAATTTTCTAGCTTGTGAGGTCAACCTTAATCTTGATAATAATGAACAGATTTTCAAAAATCAAAAAGGTATCAATCATTGACTTCATAACTAAAAAATTATGCAAAAAAAAACAAGTACCATACTTTTCTTGTTAACTATACTTTTATTATTCTAGAGTTTTTATTCATTACTTTAGAAATGCGAAACAAATTTACAACTAATCAAATTTGATTCATTCTCGCCAATGGATAGATAAAGATGAAACTGATACTGTAACAATTTTTGTTACGTTTCATAGTTAAAAAAGTTTAATTTTATTTTTTAAAATTGTATTATAACTTAATAAACAGCGGAAATAATTTTTAAAGCAGTTATCTTAGTTCATTAGTTAGACTAATTATCTTGGTTAAAATCAGTATTTGCTATTTTTAGATTTGCATTTTGTCATTTACTGGTTTACATAAATTGAAGTTCGAAGATAACTTCCGTGATGGTTTTTTTTTGAAAGATTCAAAATCAGTGGAAGAACATCGGATATTTTCTGAGTTTCTCCGCCCTATCAAAATGCCATATATGGTAAGAGAAATGTTGAGTTTTTAAAAAAAAACAATTAAATAACTTAAACTTTAATATTTATTACACGTCAGTAGCTAGTATTATCCTGTTATTCTGTTAATATAAAAGAATGGAGAAATTTGAATAAAAATATTTATCGTTTTCAGATGGCTCTTATAGGTGAATGTACGCAACCAGGCTGCTCTATGCTTGAAGATGAAAATTTTGAGATATTTGAAAACGAAACACTGAAAGCACTTAACCAACTGCACACCATGAAGCAATTTAACAGGACTTATCACTATTCACTTCAACATCTTGTTACTTTTTCCAGTGAATATCACTTCTTTTGGCTGAAGGTTTTGATTTTATATCCGATCTGTAAAATTAAAAATATTTTAGTGGACAACATTAAAGTGCTTTAGTGGACAACATTAAAGTGCTTTAGTAGACAAATTTTGCAGACCGCCTTCGTTTGCTAATACTACTAATACTTAACTATTCTATCCAACAATATTTTTCGGCCTTCATCAGTATATTATCTAACAATGCCTGTTTTATTTCCTGTTTTTTTTCCTTATTTGACCTGTACATAAGTTATAAATCAAAATAACTTTATATAAATAAAAGTCAAGGATTCATATATAATTGACTTATCAAGGATAAGTCAATGTATATGAACCTTAACTTTTAAGTATGTAAAGTTTTAAAATATTGCTAGCAGTACTAATTTACAGTCATTTTTGGAGATTAAATTAGAAGTATTAATTAAATTGTCATTCATTCCATGCATAGTCTTTTTGCTAAATTTATTACTAAACACAATCATTAAGTGAAAAAATTTTAGAATTACGTCAAATCAAGCAATAAATCGGACATAGTTTTAAACTATCCATATATAGTTGCGAATTCTGCACACATACCAATACATTATAACATATTCAGAAATGGAATAAATCAACCATTCAATATTTTGTATTACTCACTGATATTTAGTGGCGTTGACCCTCTCCATTTAAGTCTTATCAAAAAAGCAGAACTTGTCCTGTACGAGCAATTAAAAGTGAGATTTATTTCTTGCAGATATCATTTTAAGCATCCATTTTAAGCGATGAATGCTAACAATCGAAAAAGTTCTAATGAATATTTACTTTTTTTCGAAAATTAACCTTACGTACTTAAAAAAAACTTCAATAAGCATGAATAACTTTTGCATTTTGATTTCTTTTTCATTCTAGCAAGTCATTACAAATAATTATTGTAATCACTAAAGTGTCATCATTTTGTATTTTATTTTTTAGAATCGTCAAAATTTAAACGTTAACATCTACTTACTTGGTGATCATCTAGTAGACTATGAAATAGGACAAGCATCATTTTCAACACTTCATTATTTTAGTGCTGGAACTATTGCTATGATTTTAACAGTATTTTTTATAATACGACATTACAAACAGGTTAAAAATTTCCATAACAACATTTCAGGCGTTGTATTTTGTTTTATTAAGTATGAATGTCTTGTACTATGCAGTTTTATTTTCAATTACAAGTATATAATTAAAATGTTTATTTTTACTTGACAGACATCCTCAAAATTCTGACATTATTTAAGAGTGAAACAGTAAATATAATCTTAACTGTCACGATAATTTGTTGTCCACTATTCGCTGGTATAATTACTTTTTGTATCTTCTCTTTTATGGGAATTGCAATCAACAGCACAATGTTTGTTTGTTTTTTAAAGTTTATTTTATATTCATTTGATACTTTATAATTACTCATTTATCTACCCCGAAATTGCTCAAATATTGAAGTAACAGTAATGCATAAAATAATTTTCAGGATGATTACACCATTTCTTGTGCTTGGTGTTGGTGTAGATGACGCATTTTTAATAATGCGGTCATGGTTTTACTCAACTTCAGCTGGATTAGACCGAATAAACCACGTATTTTCTACTATCGGGCCATCAATTACGTTATCATCAACTACTAA